AGGCCTCTAGACTAGGAGGAGAGGCTGCATTGTGCCTGGTTGGATGGGGGGGGGGGCTCAAGAGAATCGGGGGCCGAACTTGCGATGACTTTGCTTAATAGTTCATTTGGAGCGGGGGGGGGGAGTAAGCCTTCCAGGGCAGCCTTAGGAAAAAAAAACAACCCCTCTGAAAATATCTGTGTAGTTTGTCGGGTGCTTTTTGCTTAATTATCCCTCTCCTTGCATTGAAGACTTTTCTGTGAGTACAACAGTCCTCCCCCTAATTCAGGGGTAGGCAACCTTGGCTCTTTTATGACTGGTGGACTTCAACTCCCAGAATTCCTGAGCCAGCTGTGCTGGCTCAGGAATTCTGGGAGTTGAAGTCCACCAGTCATAAAAGAGCCAAGGTTGCCTACCCCTGGCCTCTAGTTTAATAGATGCCCTTCCCCATTTGGGGATTAAACATCCCGTCTCTTTTAATAGCTCGGCAAGTTGCTTTATTGGGCGAAAAAGGAGTGAAATTCACTTTTTGGGGGGGGGGATGGCGGGGTGGAGAAGAGGAAGACCAGGGAGCTGGTAAGGCTTTGTTTGGTTTCCTCCTTCTCTCGAGGATGTGGTTTGGGAAATTCCCTCACCCCTCCCACCCCCAGTTGTGCGGTGCTTGGAAATTCCGTGTGTGGGTTGTGTTGCGTTGTGTGTAGACCGCTTCAGGATGAGGAGTGGGCTCGGAGGAAAAGAATCCCGATGGCAGACTCCTTCCTTGTTGGCAATGAATGGTTTACTAATTGGGGTAGATGATTTAACAACGCGGTCTGATGAAACTGATGTGCAATGTGTACACTGGATTGTTTGCAGTGCAGAGTTGTGCAAATCGGTTCAAGGGGGTGGGTTTCTGTGTGCGAGGGCCGTCTTTCTTGCAATAAGTTTCTTGGCTGTTGAGAAGATTTTTTTTTTTTTGAGTAGTGGAATGATAGTGTTAACTAATGTAAATTGCCCTCTCCCAGCTTGTATCTTTCAGATATCTTGTAAAACAATGATAGTGTTAACTAATATAAATTGCCCTCTCCCAGCTTGTATCTTTCAGATATCTTGTAAAACAATGATAGTGTTAACTAATATAAATTGCCCTCTCCCAGCTTCTATCCTTCAAATATCTTGTAAAACAATAGACTTTTGTTTTGGCTGGTAGGGCTAATGGCAGTTGTGGACCAGCTTATCTGGGCACTGAGCTGAAGAAGGCAGGAATGGCGTCACACTGTTTTAAATACTTAAAATACTTCCTTAAAACTTTCCTTTGTTGTAAGGGGGACCCTCAAGAATGTTTTATAAAGATTTTGGTTAGCTGTCTATGTCTTTGCACAGGAATTAGTTGATATAACTGGGTTGTGCTAGGCAAAACTTGCCATTCAGATGGAAACTTAGATAGACAATGGAACACTCCCGTGGTTGTGAAAAGATTGCTCTTTGGGTGTTTTAATAGAGATGAATTGGCTTAACAGAGAACAGAAACAATGCACTGGGCTTTGCTCACTCCATTCCTCCCTCACTGTTGTTGCTGATGGAAGACTGTAATTCTGTACACACTTTGGCTTAGTGGTGATAAGAATCCAGATGAAATGCAGTAAGTTTGTTTAAGCAAACATTTTCTGAGGATAAGATCTATACAACAGTGGAAAAGCTTACTCTTGGAGGTTGTGGGTTCTCCCATCTCTGAAAGTTTTAAAGAGGCTGGACAGTCACCTCTTATTGGTTTAATTGATTGCTTATATACTGTAGAGGGTTGGATTAGATGATTTTTGTGGTCTTCTCTGTCGTGGTTCTGAGTCTGTGAATAGGCATGTGCAGAGTTGGCCTTTTTGTACTTGTATTTTTGATATTCCTTGGGTCAAACAGGTAATGCAATATATTATAGAAATATCGGATCAGGGTCTGGAGTCTCCAACTGAATCCCTCAAAATATAGTGGATTTGGGAGCCAAGTGTTTCCAGAGTAATGCCGTCTCTGATTCTGAATGGAATTGCATTCCTTTGTTTGCGAGATGGTTCATGCTCCTATTTGAGCAACAAGTGGCAGCTCTGACTAGGAGACATTTTATGCAATTAAATCTTGTAGACTAGGTCTGGCCACTCCTGGATCAGGAGATTCTGCTTACATTCAGGCCTCAGTCACCTCCCACTTGGATTATGATAATATAGTCTGCACAGTCCTGCCCTTGGAAAACAGCTGCCCCATACTCTAACGCAGTGTTTCTCAACCTTGACAATTTTAAGGCATGTGGACTTCAACTCCCAACTCCCAGAATTCCACAGCCAGCAATGCTGGCTGTGGAATTCTGGGAGTTGAAGTCCACATGCCTTAAAATTGTCAAGGTTGAGAAACACTGCTCTAACCAATCCTAGGCAGCGATGAGAATATCTCAATATTCTTGGGTGACATTGTGTCAGGCCTGATTGCTGATTGGCTTTTGGATATAATTCATGATGCTAGTTGTCACCTTCTAGGTCCTACAGGACTCTGGCCTGCCTTCTGCCTCAGTCATTTTCCTGTCTTCTTCAGGGTCCATCAGCCAGGGCATTGGCATTGGTTAAAGTGGTTAAAACTGGTCATTCTATCAATTATATCCTGTTATTGACAATGTGAATTTGGTGGGCATGTTTTGGACATTTTCTTTTTGTATAATTTCAGTACTGTGTCTATTTGTAGGTTTAATTTCAATACTGCAAATATTTGTACGTTTATTATTTTTGAGGGATTTTTTCTTGACTTGGTTATTTTTCTGTTTGCTGTCCAAACCAGACTTTGAAGTATGGACAGCATACAATAAATAAAACTAAAACTCAATATTTGATACAGGTAATAATGGTGAATTTGTATTTGACATATCTAGACAGTTTCTAGATACACATTAAAGCCTTTGGTTATGGTACTCTGCTTTTAGAAATATTCTGGGTACCATTATTTACACACAAATTTATTTTATTTTAGTGCTTTATCAATTTAATAATCTGGACTGATTTAGTCTATAAAAATAAATCACTTTTGATACCTTTTAAAATAGGAAGTGGTACACAAATATAACAGATTTTTGTATTCAGATAGTGGTTATATTTTGCCTCTGCCAACTTATTGTAAAATAAAAGTAACAATATTTTTTTAAAAAAATAAAACATTATTTGGAACTGGGAACTTTCTTTGACTTTCTACTTCAAATTTCATTTTAGAGCTGGGACTTCTACCCTTGAAGCCCACGTGCCGAGAATCTGATGTTGGGCTTGGCTTCGTGGCTGAAAACGGCAAATCAGCCCATGAGAACTACCATTCCTAGCCAAAAGAGCTCCAATAAAAGTCAGCATCTTTTCTTTCAAGTCTGGCAGCAAGAAAGAGGACAGGAGGTGGACATTGTGGAATCTGAAAACAGAACTGAAAGGTAAATGGGAGCCACATAAATTGTGTCTCTGGGAAAGACGGGGGTTCCCTTTATATACTGTTGTTTCTTTGGAAGACTTATTCCTTGTGTAGAAAGTAATGAAGTTAAGGGATCTGCCTTTTCCCTGGCAGCCCGTCCTGTGGAACATTCGTGCCCGTTGAAGTTTGGCAGACCCCCTACTCTTCTAGCCTTCTGAAAAGCACTTAGACCTGGTTTTCCCCTGAGAGTTGAGAATAGGGTGAGGTGGATAAGAGGATTTATTGAGTATGTTAAGAAACTTCGCTTTGGTGCCAGGTTTTTAATGTTTGTCATTTTAATAGACATATGTATTCTGCCCTTTATTGAGGTTGTTTTAATTATTGAGTAGGAGTTACCCAGAGTTGAATAGAAGATGGGTGGATATGTAAATGTTTTAAATCATAACTTTTGGACCAGTTTATTTATTTTGTACCTTAAAATTCAGTAAGTAGTTAAATCAGTGGTTCTCAACCTGTGGGTCGGGACCCCATTTGGGGTCGATCGACCATTTCATGGGGGTCGCCAAAGAAGGCTGTCCGCCATTTTTTTTGTCCGCCATTTTTTCCCCTTTTCCGGCAGGTGCCTTACCTCCCTTCGGCTGGGCCAGCTGGTGGTTGGCCTGCTCCATCTCTGCCACTTGCGAGCTACGCCTCGGCTGGCGCAGGGGGCGGAACCACGCATGTGCGGCGCTCCCGGGCAGGGAAAGTCCTCGACTTACGACCAATTGGGTAGTCCTCGACTTACGACCGGTTTAGTCCTCGACTTACGACTGGTTTAGTCCTCGACTTACGACCGGTTGGGGTCGCGGCATTAAAAAGGTTGAGAACCACTGAGTTAAATCTTTGTCTTCTATCAGCCATTAAAATATCTAATTGGCTGTTTCTTTTGGCTTTATACCGCATAGAAAATTGCCATGCAGTATACATTTGATGACACTTGTTCAAGTCCCACCTTAGGCACAAAAGCCAGCTGGGTGACTTTGGGCAAAGTTCAACTCATCTTACAGGGCTGTTGTGGTGGGGAAAATGGGAGGAAAGAACATTATGTATGTCCACTGCCTTGCGTTACTTGTAAAGTAATAAAGGCGAGATTAAAAAAACCTAACAAATATTTAAAACAGGCCTGGTTTATTATACAGTGAAGGTGCACCTTTACTGAAATAGGAAGAGGTTGATGGTGTTAAAAAAAAAATCAAACCTGATGGAATGTTGCCTCTAAGATTTTTGTTTCAGAAAAGCTCTTTTAAGTAGCTTATTGTGCTATGTTTTCTAATTTGTTATGCTTTATTTAACAAACCATGGTTGGAAAAAAAACATAATTTACTGTGGTATGTGAAACAAGCCAACGTACTACGGAATTGAATTTCATAGCAATTTTAAACCTCCAGAGGTATTTGTGTTGCATAAATTGTGCTATTATCTGGAATATTGACGAAATCGTTTTTAAGCAGATTTTTGCTTATAAGTTAGTTAGATCAATATGGTAATTCAAAACCCAGCATAACATGCCAAATTTTGGAACCAGGATAATTTGAAGACTTAGTAAAGCTATGATTCTAGCCTTTGCAATCTGAATATATTCTGGCATTGCCATTGAAGGGTTTTTTTTTAAACAAAAGAATATTATGGTTACATCATATGCCAAATTTTCTTAGGTTTCCCCTGACAAGTTTTGTCTTTTCTTGTATCTTCCCAATCCCTGGATAGGTGACATTTAACTTGAAGATGGGAGGTGGAGAAAGATTCAGTGTTCCATCTGTCCAGTCCAGAAATGCTACCAAGAGCCATCAACAACTGAATAATAGAAAAAAGAGTAAAGATCAGAATTCCCATATGAAGAAAATTCACAAGAAAGAGAGAGGGCATGGCTGCAACCCATCATCTGTAGCATGGCAGGCCATGCACAATGAAGGAAAAACCACAGTGCATTTCCAAACCAACCAGACTTGGAATCCAGCTTTATCCCACTCACTTTTCATGCCTCAAACCAACCAAAACTATGCTGGAGCAAAATTCAGTGAGCCCCCATCCCCAAGTGTTCTTCCTAAACCACCGAGCCACTGGGTAACTGTATCATTTAACCCCGCGGATAAAGAAATCATGACTTTTCAACTTAAGACCTTACTGAAAGTACAGGCTTAAGTTCCATAGAAAATGACACTTCATAGTTTCAGTATGAGTCCATGTTGGAGTCCATAATTCAAAAAAAAAAAAAAAAAAGCACAGCATGCAGAACTAAGTCACCATGTTGGAAAGTAGTTGAATTGTGTAGGATGGTGAAAGGTAGCACTCCTTGGAAATACTCTTAATTAAATACTTCACTTTTGGGTGTTACTCTGTATCCATTTTTATGTGCTGCAGATGCATTGTTAAAATAATTTGATAGCCTAGACCAAATCTCAGTCATTGTTCTCTATACAAATTGTATTAGATAATTTTAGTTTTCTTTCTCAGAAAGTGTGCTCGACAGTATGTCTTTTGGGATGCAGTAATACAAGCCAAACCAATTTCTAATCACAACGGCAATGTAATTGCAAAATATGATTATTCCCTATACTGTGAAATTCTGTAAGTATTCAAAATCAGTTTTTGAGCTCTTAGCCCAAATTGTTGTAAATTTCTTAATTTCTTCAAGTAACTCATTTTTCTATCATTGAACTGATGGGTTGGGCAAGCAAATATCCAAAGCCTTGGGACTCGAAATCCAAAATTTGGATTTGAAATGCCAATCTATATAAATGCTTGTTTAATTGCATGCCAATTATTTTCATTATTGATCTAGTTCTTGTACAATCCTTATAATGCATTGAAGATTGATTGATACCCCCAAAATGTGCCAACTTGAATGTTCGTAATGACTGGTACTGCCAAAAGCTTCTAGTGTCTTTTTTCTTCAGTGAATTTTATTAAGCTGTTTTTGATACGCATTCTGTGTTTTGCATCATTTCCTGAAACTGAATTGCTAAGGCCAGTGTGTAATAGGGCAATCTATTATGTAAACTTGTTTAAAGAATTTGACAATTGTACAAACATCTTTTATGGAGGGAAGGAAGAGCCATGTAAATAAATGTAAAACTTGTAGCATATGTAAATTTATTGTAGGCTTTCCTGCCAAAAAGAACTATTTTTAGTACAAAACTGCTGAATGTAAACAAGTCCATGTTAAATACATGGCATTTTTATAAAAAAAATTGCTAAAAAAAAAACTTTAAAAGCACATATCGATGCCATTGCACTTGAGTATCAGTGAAAGAATGTGCTCAGCCTGCGTCTGTTTAGATGATAATTTGGATTTAACTTGGTAGAAAGTACCATTTAAAAAAGTAAATGTTTTTTTGAAGGGCGCAGTCCAGTCCAGAGAAAAAAATCTTGATAATTCAGTAAATGATTATGCACTCTTTAGATTTCAGTCCTAATATACTTTATTGAAAACTGTTTTATTCAGGTGTGTTTGGGACTGGGCTGTAAGGTTGCATTTTCAGTGAAACCTCAACTGCATACTATAACTGTTGCATACAGTTGTAATGTACCCTCTGATGGTTGCTTTCATTTTGGATATATAAAGTACTTTTAGCAGAAAAACAAAAGTATTAGAAGTTCCAGTGTCCAAAATGCCAAAACCCCATCTTGTATTTGTCAAAATATATAATAAAGCGTTTTTACAAGTGTTTGTTTTTAAACTATGTATTAAATATTGTAGCACTTTTCTTAGCTGTTTTATATGCTGTCATTTGTTAAAAAGAAGTATTTCATTATATACCATTAGAATTATTATTTGTCTTGTGTCTGAACTTTTCTTAGAAGCAGCAACTTTAGAATTTGATAGAATTTCAGATGTATTAGGCACTATGTATCTTGGTAAAAATAGATTATGTAAATAGATTACGTAAACAAACATTATACATAACAAAATGTTTAATGTTGCTAAATTTCCAACAATAGTAATGAAACATTTAGTTGCCATGTAATATTTTTTTTAAAGAGGGGTATTTGGCTGTACATTGTTGCACATTTTAGCTACATATATATTCAAAATGTTTTAGCAACCATCAAAAACATTTAAAATATTCCCAAATAAAACAGATTGGACAACTTGCTCAAAATATTACCTTATGCCCCAAATGTATCCCAGACATTTGAAAATCGTTGTATCCCAGATGTAATTTTGATACTCTAAATTCTATACTTGTTAGATATGAATTTGAAACAAATTTTAAATAAAAATCCTTAACCTTTTCTCCCCAGCAGTGTGTTGATTGCTACTTTATTTATAGCATTTTTATTCTTTACAAACTAAAAAAGCAGATATAGCATTAAGGGACATATTGTCCATAGATTTAAAGATGGGAAAGGAGGTTGAAGAGAAAAAAGCAACCATGTGCATGAATTCCATTTTAATATGGACAGCTGCAGATAATTGGCAAGTAACCCAGTGGTTTTGTTTCTTTCAATAGAAACCTTTAGATGGAAGAATTTTTATTTGTAAAGCAGAGGCTTTAACTTTGAGCTGTGAATCATGATAGATATTAAAAATGAAAAGTACAGATGTGCTAAATTATCTGCAGTTAGGCATAAGGCGGTTATGATTAGCCCTATTTAACAACCATGAGAGCAAATTCAATTTGTTCTTCATATATTACTGGATTATTGTATGCTGGATATATTGAACCAAATAAGCTTAAGAGAAACTATTTGTGCTGCTTGATGACACCTGTATTTTAATTTGATTGGATGTGCCAATTTTAATTCTGCTTTAAACTTATTACAGTATGAAATATATCTGATGCATAAGAATGATTCATACAAAAAAGGGTAAGCCACCAAGCTTTTTAAAGTTAGAAAAATAGGCACTAGTTGGCTATATTGTCCTACCTAAATTGAACAAGATGGTTTAAAAAATATTAACATTCATAAACAATTTTAGTTTTGCAGCTCAGGTATCTTATACAATATGTCATAGCAATGTTTAGTTCAATATTCAAAACTGTATGGACTTGTTCTGGGCGTCAAAAATTTGACATGGTTATTAAGAGCATGATACATTTTCAACAGTTTCCTGTTTGAGGAAGACTTCCATTGGCCTATTTCACTTACGGATGAAATTTAATCTTTTTGTGAAAAAGCCAAATTTAGGAAAAGAAACAGTGCACAATTTGTTCAAGTTCCCACCTTTTTTTTATTGTATTATTCTGGATCCGAGGTTTTATTTGTTTCTTAAGTTCATCACTCAGAATCACAACTGGCAAGATGAGCAGTTACACAAATAAAATGTTTGTATCAATGCTTCAGATCTGAGGCAGAATTTGTTCTGGCACAACATAAAATATTTTAAACTTGTCTTTCTCATTGGCTAATGAAACTGAAATAATTACTGCTCCTGTATTGAACAAACAGCATTGGTATTCTTTAAGTATGAACACATCCACCTTCAAACAATACTAGTTAAAACTACAGTAGAGAATGTATGTGTTTACATTTTTATTAGTTTGTAGGCTAGATTTACAGCAAGCAAAATATAAACGGGTCCTCCTAATCAAAACAGTGATGTCTTAAAAGTAGTACCTGGTATTTTAAAAAAACATATAAAAATACCTTTTTTGGAAGCCTCTATAAGAAAGGAAATATAAAGTTTATTTCCACAAGTTTCTTCTGGCCAGAGCTGCACAGTAACACTACAATTTTACACTTTGCTTTAAACTACATTAGGGAGAACTCTTAAAAAAAAGCAATAAATGATTGCATAGCAGGACATTAACTTTTAGTACTAAACAAAAATGAGGCTATCAAATATACAAAGATGCTAGAATCACTCCTTCAGCTTACTGAACAGCCAACATTTTAAAAAGCATCTTTACTCCTGAGCAGTTTACTGTATATGATGAATATACAGTATTAAATTTGAAATTAGTTCTCTACAGAAACAAGAGTTCCATTGATACTAAATTTTCCTGCTAAACAGAAGTAAAGGGCCTTTGAAGGTTGATGCCGACTTTCATTCTTCCAACAGAAAAGCTATGTTCTTGGTACAATATTATGGTCTTCCAGAGAATACTTTTATACCATGGCAACATTCCATAGTCTAATTACCAAAAGCAAAAACAACATATACCAAATAACCCTCCTAATCTGAAGAGAAAGTTAGATTAATGTATAAACTCAAAATTGTCACTTCTATTTAGAAATACTGCTAATGAAACCCTGGGGCACTAAACAGGTAAGCCAACTACTTATAAAAACCTTCGTGTTGAGGTTTAGTTTTTATACACGGTGCAATGTGAGATGTTTATTTTAATTTAATGCAGCAAAAAGCCTTGCAGAATTTGCTCACTAAACCTCAAAGCCCACCACATTGCATACAAATACTTACTTAATGATTTAACTGAGTATTTTATTTTGGGAGGTTAACATATTAGAAAAAAGCACCTGGATTTTGCCAAATCCACAGTAAATCATTGTGAGCAATTTCTGCCTTTTCTAACTTATTCTCAGGACCATCGCTTCAGAGGTTATCAGTATTTCAATGTCTTTCAGATGCCCAAGGAACCAACCATTTTGGCACAAGTGTCCGCAACAAGCCAGCCTTTAACAACCCTTTTTGAGTGTTGACATTTTTTAGCTCATAGCAGTCACTACAGCAAAACAACTGCTCAATCTGCTGGCTATACAGCAGAAATTAAGCAACAGTGTAAACAGTGATGATCAAGGTAACATTGATATTTGAAGCATAAGACCATACTTTTTTTTTCTTTACAAAAATATACATAGAAACACAAGAATCTTAGTAGCTGCCCAAGACATTTAACAAAGTGGACTCTGTTGTGTAAGATTATCTGTATTGTATTTTTAATAGTAATAATTGCCTGCTCCAGGGATAACTAACAAAAATTATTTTAAAGCAATGTTGCAACATCATAACTCAATTGTTTATCTAGATGATACATGCCTAAAAACAAAATACACTGTTTAGTGGCCACTGGACTTGGGACTAGCCCATGATCTGGATCTGGATTTGGATCTAGATCTAGACTGCGATCTTGACTGAGATTTGGATCTAGCTGATTCTTTTTTCTTTGATTCTTTTTCATATCTTGAGCTGGACTTATAATGTGCCTTAGAATCCATTTTAGAGTTGTCTCTAGATTTAGTGCAAGATGTAGACCTAGACCGTGATTTAGCCTTCATTTCTTTTTTGGCTGGTGACTTAGATCGTGATCTTGAATTGGACTTTGACCTTGAAAAAGATGTGTTACGGTGTTTGAACCTATCAGAAAGAGGAAGATAATACATTTCAATATGGTCAATCTCATTAGGTGTTGTATTATCTCACATTAAAATGGCTTATTGTTGCAGGCACAGGCTTTTCTGATTTTGAATGTGTTATATAAAAGAATGTTTACCTATCATTATCTGAACGACTTCTGCTACGGCGATGTCTTCCAGCAGGTCTACTGCTAAAAAGGTACATGAGAAAAAGTAAACAGTGGCATATACCTTTAGAATTACTCACACACCCCCAACTAAAGATTCTTCAGTTGTAATATTTCTTTTTTCTTCAAGGATGCACTATTTCTGATCGTTCATGCAAGGTATAACAACTTCCATGCATGTTACTGCTAAGGTGACTTGGAATCTAGGTGTCAGACAGTCAATGAGTTTCCTCTTCATTACAGGCCAGCATAGGTCAAGGTAGTACAACACTTACTTTCTAGGACTATAAGATCTGCGACAGTTGTAATCAAAAGAACGGCTTCTTGACCTCCTTTCATAACTGCGACTTCTTGAACGCCGGTATCTGTCATAATCATCATAACGAGATGAGCTGTACACATTTCTTCCTTCCTTAGCTTTCATTTGGTTTGGTGCTGTTGGGAAAAAAGTTTTTAATTAAATGTTAATATCTAATGCAACAACTTCTATAAAGGTTGGATACTGAAAATCCAACTAGGACCGGCTTTGAACACATTTAAATGTGTATGATATTTAGGAAAAGCTCAGCAGTTTTTAACAGAGAAATCAACTGAGAGCTTGAATCATTTATACTAGCCCCTTTTCTTATTGATTTGTAAGCTAACTTGTGCTTAATGTTTAAGCTTAGTATTTCATATTAGAGCCCAATAACTGCACACTGAGGGCAGAAGTGCTCATCTGTAACTTATTCTGCTCTTCTGTTCTTTTGAAATGTCTTTAAAAAAACTGCAAATCTATTTATTCTCTTTGCATCTATCTCCCTTATCATCTTTGTCACAAAGTATTTTCAAATCTGTCTTCTCTTGTATCCATACTGCTTTTCTCTCCCAATAAACCCTCATTATCTGCTCTCTGTGTTCCATTTATTGCTTTACTTTTCCATTCTTTGTTTTCCATTTTTTCTTAAATCTTTAACTCTGCATTTCCCTAAAACCATTCTCAGTATGATCAAGTATGATAGTCCACATTTAATGACTGCCCTGTTTAGCAGCTGAACAAAGTTAACAATGGCCCTGAAAAAGTAACTTTACAACCAATCCTCACTTATAAATGTTGCAACATCCCCACAGTCACATGATAGCTTGTTTAACAATCCATGAAGATTTGCTTAGTGACTGGAAAAGAAGTGAAGCTGTAAGTCCATTGCAGTTACGCAATATCTTGCTTAATGACCATGTTGCTTAAAAGATGACTACCTGTATTTTAGCAATCTTAATATTTTGTTTCTTCAATGGCCAGGTGTCCACAAAATGTCTGCAGCAGGACATTAGTGCATTTTTTTCATATTGACTTACAACAGATATTTAGAGGAATAGTATCTATGAAATTTCTTAAAAGCAGCAAGCACTGAGTTTTAACTATGAATTTCTCAAATCTTCTTGTATAGGTGATCAAACTGATGGCCATCATAGATTTGTCTTGCAAATTCTTATCTATGTGAATTATAATACAACAATTCAATCTTGCTGGATGAATCTGAATTTCGGACTGAGAATTTGTTCTGAATTTATCAATGTATTAATTCTGTTCCTTGTGCAAAAGTTTTCTGGGGAACTTCTCCTTTCTTCCTTGGATGAACTTTTTAACAATCATTCTTACATATTTTTAACTGCAGCAGGCCTCTGTAACCTGGTATTGATCACACAGCTGAAAAATTGGGAATGAAGCACCTAAATGTGAAAGTTATGTAGGTGGGGAAGAATGTTTCTTCATTTTGTTGAAAAGCAGTTTCCAATAGAAAGCAGGCCAAATTCCAGTTAATTTTCTTTTTAATAATCTCTCTACTAATTGCTACTTTCTGCTAGGAAGATTTTTATGACTTCCTTGTCTAGCCAAAACCCTGGGGTTTCCTTGTAGTCTCCAATACAAGTAATAACCAAATTAGACATCGTTTTACTTTTTGACACTAGCAAAGGTTGATTAAGTGCTGCCACTATATCTTGTATTCTGGATTCAGACAGCTCATGATCAAAAATATGTTTATTGTGGGGAAAGTTGTTGTACTTAACTGCTTCATATCTCAAACCAACTTCCATGGTAGTTGAGTGACATGTCTACAATTACACTAAATGGATATAAAATGACTAATGCCATGGGAGGACACTTTTTCTACTCTTATGTAACTGGTAGGCTTTATATGATTTTTTAAATATTGATTTGGAAAAGTCCATGTAGTATAGTTGACTACTTATGATAAGCATTTCCATTAATTATTTGTGCCCGCCCAACCCCTCATTTTTAATATATATTCTAAAATTACAGATATCATACATTCTAATCAGAATATTGCACTATATTTTTTTACCAGATCCTTATAACAGTAAATAGCAAATATAACATTTCAATAATTTGTGTATGTATGTATTGTGGCTGTGATAGAATAATTCATACAGCTTTATGTGCTATGTTTCAGTATTAATTTTCTGACAAACTTTATTTAAATATAAATGCAGTACATACTTTTCCGATCTCCTTGAGCAAACTGGATTTCTATCTGACGGCCACAAATCCATTTCCGGTCCAAATTATGAAGGGCATCTTCAGCATCCCGGACATCTTCAAATGTGCTAGATGTTAAGGTACTTGGAGATTTGAAGTATTTGCAGCTATATAATTAGTAATTTTTGTTTTCCCATAATGCCATTATAGCCTTGCAACTAACATGTCCTCATTTTTGTATGTTCTACAGCATAACGAAGATTAGCTGATATCAGTAATGTCATCTTTCATCTACCAATGTTTAAAAAATATCTCACCCTGAAGTATTATTTTTCTTAAGAGAGCTTTAATATAGTAACAGTGTAGCATTTTCCAGATGAAGCTAATATAGGCAATCCCAGGTCTAAGCACCTGTTGTTTCCTAAATGTTTTTAACCAAAATTGTTTTCAGACTATTGTATCTGTGCTTCTGCCTATTAGGGATGGACATCAAGAACAACAAAGTTGCTTGCAAAGTTTTTTTTATAAAGTTTAAAATTATGACTTCAAAATTGAGTTATGGCAAAGACAATTTCCAGCAAGGAGAACCCAATTTAAGGAGAATCCTCTGGAATTCAATCTCTCACTGTCCTGAAGGCCAAGTGATCCAACTCAAAATGGCAGGCAGTGTTGTCCTTCTACTAAAGTGGCACAAGGCATTCATGAACTGCTAAAAAAAGGTATATATTGTATTAAAAATACACATACTACTTTGCGATGCTCATGAAATCTTTTTGTAGCTTCAGTGATTTGTCAGCTCAAAGAACACCGTCCGCCATTTTGAATGAGATCACATTGCCAGTCAGCCAATCTGCCATTTTAAACACTGTAAAAAGTGATTTTGCAATACTTTTGCCATTTTTTAACAATCCTGTTCCTCTCTAGAGGTTGTCTTTAAGTTGGATGATCTTAGCCCAGGGACTGCCTGTATTAAAATTAATGGTTTTCATTTTCAATGATTGATTTAAAAATCATTGCAAAATTATATAAGATTTTATGACAAAAACATGCTGGAAAATTAAGCTCAAGTTACATATTGCAAGCTCCTAAGTGAGCTTACTTGATTAACTGTCCTTTTGTGTCAAATTACAAATATCCTATGCAGCAAATTTCATCTTATTGCAGATATCCTCATTTCAAATCAGTAATGATTAGTTGAAATTGTACTTTTCTATAAAATGCAGACAACATGGTTATTTAGCAAATTATTACAGGGCCATAGCTAAACTAAATTAAAATAAAAAGTATTGGTTAACCACTTACACAACCAGCAAGCTCTTATTCTGTAGGATACATCAGGTAAGGCTCCTTTTATCTTGGCCACCAGTCAACTTCATCTTGACCTTTAAATCTTTAAGTGCTTTTCAGAAGGACTTGAGATGCTTGGTCAAAAGTGACAGATGGCTTTATCTTTATACTTTGAAAAACAACCTTTTCCCCCATTTGTAGATAAAGCGAAGCTTTTTCTCCCATTATGGCTTGTCCTTCTTCCAGCTTTTCTTTATATTTTCTTTTCCCAAACTTTCCCTTCTCTTCAAGCCTGATCCTTAAGAGGTCTTTGGCTTGTCTACTTGCCTTAATTCTTGAATTCTACTCTAAAGGTTCTTTCATGCTTTCTCTTTGGGGTCGCCATTACTGTACAGCTTTACACTCTGAGGCAACAACAGAGGACAGTAAATTAGGGGACAATAATCAGAGCAAGAATTTTCACCTCATTTTATACAAGTCTGTTCTTGATCAAATAAACAATAAAATATCAATCACATTTTGCTAAGCATTAAGAATAAATTTACTAGAAATGCCCAATATGCTGAACTGCAATGATAAACTTTGGAGGCAGCAGCAAATGCCATTTCCAAATCAAAAGCACAAGTTTAAATATGAAGCCTGTGCAACAATAATGCAATATATTGTTTACTATAGTTAAAGTTTTCTAAGTATGAAAATTCATCAATGCATTAACTTCTGGAGAATGGAACACACACAACATATTACAAATAACACAAGAAAACAGCCTTGTCATTTAGGTTTGTTACCTCATTCACAAACGTGAATTTCAAACTTCAACACCCTCTCACCAATCAGTCATCTGAAGAAAGGATATTGAACATAAGCAAATCCTCTTGGACGGCGGGTGTAGAAATCCAAGGGTACATATACATCAACTATTGGACCATATCGACCGAATTCCCGACGTAAGTCCTCAGACCTGCAATAAGACTTAACGTTTGTTTGTGTTCACAAATTAGAAAGTGGAGTAGAAATTAAAATACCTATGTGTATAAATACTTATCGACCTATTTGGAATTGGGGGAGTACAATCCTATGACTTTGGTAAGTACCTCCCACTTATTTGTTACAGGGTATGAACTCCGCTCTAAACTTTCCCTTGCCAGCTTGAAATAAGAACCCAAATTTTAATAGAATATAATGTAGCAATATCTAACACAATATATCATTCATGCTAAATATTTACTAAGAATGTAACCTTTGGAGAGAATAAATTCAAACTTGTAAATGGCTACCAGCCAGAGATATACAAAAGTTCTTGCATCAGAACATCTGATTTCAGGTGGTTTGTTATCAAATTGAAACCTGCATGATTGGTCTGGAAATATTTGACTGGACTTCCAAACCCCATTTTGTGCATGGGGCATATTTTTTTGTGTGTGCATGCTCCTACAAACCATAATCAAGACTGTATGATTTCACGCACCAACTCTAATAACCAGAAATTTGACCATTTACTAGATGCAAATTAATAAACAACTCTGGGGGAGAAAAACAGATTTGCTACAGATTTCAAGTAAGTTCCCTAGTCTTAGGAAGGGGTTAGGAGAGAAGAATCTGGGGAAAAATGTAACTTAATGTAAATCTCCAAATGTAATCCAAGATTAAAGGGAAAAAAATGTAGGTTTAGAATGTGCTAAAACTGTGGAAAACGAAAGAACTCTTACGAATTCCAGAAGGGTTTAGCAGAGAAGTTTATTTGTGCAAGGTTCAGAGCATATTAGATAGGCAATTCTGAACGAGGGCATGATTAGACTTCAGTTTTTATACTCCCCTCCTTAAAGAACAAAGAGCTACACATTGAAATACACACTGTGATACATTAGGAGCGTTTCTCACAGGCATACAATGGAAGGTTTTGCTACATACAAAGTATCCATGTGCAAAGCGCATTTGGTTGCCACATATTACTGACACAGAACTTTCCCAGTGAATTTTCCCATTGATTATGCATTACCTCATTGTTCTAGCAATTATGCAGACACATCATTATTGCAGTTATGCAGACAAATCATTATTCTAATAATAGTTCAATTTACTACATTATTCCCCCCTTTGGAAGTTACTACATTAATATCGAGGAGCTATTTGAATGAGGCTAAATTCGAATAAAGGAAGTAGTGGATGTAGAAAAACATGCAGCAGTGCCCTGCAGAAATGAAATTTTTTTAAAGCAAAAACTGTATAAAAAAGCAAAGGGAAGCCGGCAGAACTGCAGATAGGGGGAAAGAAAGAAAAAAATTTAAATGCTTTCCCCACCCCACAATCTCTCAAACACAGAACGGTCTCGTCATTTTACTAACTGAGGCGATATTCCTGATTTCACGCGCTGCTCTTCGTCAGTCTCCTTTGGCGCCAAAAAAACGAGAAGTTGGCACACAAACGAAGCGAGCACCAAGTGGCTTCTTTCACGCGTCTCGCTTCGCAGGGCTCCCGGAGGGCACACGAACCGTTCGCCCGCTCGGCATTTTTAACCATCTTCTGCCAACCGGGCAGAAGAAACAACGGAGACCCCGAAGAACGGGTGAGGAGGAGGCCACAGGGCAGGGAAACGACCGAGAAGGCCTCCAGCAGGCCTGGCCGCAGCCAAGGGGCGCCTGGACACCCCCCCTCCCCCGAAGCAAGACCGGGACGCGGGAAATACCGAGGCAACGCTGAGGCGGTCGCGCCTCAGGCCTACCGCGCCCTTCTTTCCCCGCCTCCCTCGCTTCACACACACACACACCTGGTATCGTCGGCCACGTTTCGCACAAATAGCGAGGTGTTCGGCGGCCGCAGGTAGCGAGACATGATTCTTCCGGGGGAAGGGAAGCGGCCCGCCGGCTAGACGCGAAGGGCGAAGCCCAGAGAGTTGAAAGGGACCCCCGGCGCTGAGGAGAAAGAGGCACAACGGAGAACGACTCGGGGCAACCGCCTTGTGGCGAACTCTCGCGAGAGCCGGGGCGCGCGCGCACGCGCACCAACGGCGGGCGGGATGGCGTCTCGCGCTTTTTCTCTCTCTCTCTGTCTGCCGCCGAGCGAGATGGCAACGCGCCTGCGCCTTAGCCTGCAACCGTCGTGCGGGAGGCAGGTCTCGCGTTGTTTGACGAGCGCTTTGCGGTCGGGGCGCGCGCCTGCGCGGTCGGTTCGGACCGTGCTTTGCCGCCTTTGGGGCGCGGGCCTGGTTGTGGAGAGAGATTGGGGGGTGGGGCGGAGGAAATGCAGAAAGAAGAGAATGCGAAAACGCGTCTCTGGGGAACGTTTTTGGACGTTTGGCTTGTTGGGCTGCGTTTTGTAAAAACAAATAAATAAATAACATTCGCTTTCGGACGTGGTGATGTTGCCTGGGATTTTAAAGGCGTCGTTGTTAGCATTTTAAAAGGGGATATTGGCACTTTTAACATGGTGGGGAGGTATAAGCCTCTGTTTTTTAAAAAAAACTTAAGGAAAACACGTTTTTTGCCCTTGGCCGAGGTTGCATTGCAGCCCCAGAGGATGCTGGAGGAAATGGATCAGGGGTAGGCAACCTCGGCTCTTTTATGACTCCTGGACTTCAACTCCCAGAATTCCTGAGTCAGCATAGCTGACTCAGGAATTCTGGGAGTTGAAGTCCAGGAGTCATAAAAGCCGAGGTTGCCTACCCCTGAAATGGATAATGTGGATCCCTTTCGGTAGGGATTCTGGTTTGGATATAGGATGGTGTGGGAAGTCAGCCCCCCCCCCTCCAGAGAAGGAAATATTACAAGGGTAGAAAAATATATTTCCTCAAAAAGATTTTAAAAGCAGAAACCAACCCTGCCCCCAAGTCTCTCTGTCTCAAGCAGAAACCAGCTCTGTACAAATGCAGATGCAAACCATCAGGAAAGTTGGAGCTAGACGCTTAGGAAGACAAAGAGACCTAAAATCTGCATACCCCACCCAAATTCCTAAGAGTCATTAGCCCCAGCACCCGGGAAGCAGGATATAACCCTTGGGACATAATAGGATTAACCCACCACCATCAAGAAAACCAGAAAGGCATACCCAGATTCAGGTCAGTATACGTAACACAGGAAATACAAAGCCAGGAACAGGAAACTACTTCAAACAAAAGGCTCCAGAGGGTATAAAAACCCACTCCCTGCATGTGCTCAGCCCTTTTTTTCTCTCCTTCATGCCAGAACCATCTTTCTGTCTGGCTCTTCAATAAACTGCAACCTTCTTTCTAAAGCAGTCGCCATGTTGTTTATCCCCGGCTTGGATGAATCATGATGAAGACTTTTTTTTCAACAATTGAAAATAGTGGGACTTGGGAAAAGGGCTTCTATGTGATGGCTCCCTCTTTTTGGAACAGCATTCTGGCAGAGATAATAAGGCTGGCTCCCATCTTGTTGTTTTTCCAGAAGGATTTGAAATCTCCCCCCCTTTCTCCCCCTCTCCTTCCCTCTCTTCCTATCTCTGTCATCTAATTTATAAGGCACCCTCCTTGTTGTTAATTGCGAAGTTGTGTCCGATCCATCACGACCACATGGACAACGTTCCTCCAGGCCTTTCTGTCCTCTACCATCTTCTGGAGTCCATTGAAGCTCACGCCTCCTGCTTCAGTGACTCCATCCAGCCACCTCATTCTCCGTCGTCCCCTTCTTCTATTGCCCTCCATCTTTCCCAGCATCAGGCTCTTCTCCAGTGAGTCCTTCCTTCTCATTAGGTGGCCAAAGTACTTGAGTTTCAACTTCAGGATCTGGCCTTCTAAAGAGCAGTCGGGGTTGATCTCCTCTAGGACTGACCGGTTGGATCACCCTCCTACTGCAAGGCAACTTACAATGGTTTTGTCAGCAGGCTTGAGGAACCCATTCAGAGCCTATCAATTTGCTTGTTTGACTCTGTTGCCGCCACCATGAGATGGGGGTTAAATTGTGGATTTTAAACTGAATTTTTAATGTACCTCGTTTGCCGTCATTGTGTCTATTTACTTAATAAACAGAGAAATCAAATAAGTAATGTCTTTAATCCAGTTTGTTATGTTCTGTACTGTAGATATGCAAGCGACTGACCCCCGCCCATTGTGGAGAAGCTAAATGGGCATTTCCTATCAAGCTGAGGTTAGCCCTCAGGGGACCCTAACGGTTATTCCCAACTCTTTCGGTGGGAGCATTCATATTTGGGCGGGAGATTCTAGGCAGGTAATTGGATGAACATCTGAGGTCTTAAATGTATAAGTATCGGCCATTACCTGTCGCTGGCCAGTTCTCTTGCTACTACAATAAAGCTATACAATGACGCTGTGTTGCTCCTTGTCTATCGAAGCACCCCACTACATAAAATAGTTAATCAGCAAAAAGTCTACGCAAAGCTCAGGGATTTTAAGAATAATTAATATATATAACACTCAGCGTTCCACATCTCAACTCTTATTGCAACAAAACCCCTTTCAAAGGCCTGAGAGGGTCCCAAAATCCCAATGTAAATAAAAGAAAAGAAAACCCAAGTTTAACATGATCAAGAGATACCATTTTTCCTTTACAAAAAGCAAGCTTCAATACATCAAAAGTTTTTCCTATTTTCAAATACCAACGTTTTTTTTAAAAAGCTATATAGTTTATAACTGAGAGTGTCAAATGATTTTATTCAGATTATGATTGAGATAAATTGGTTATTGATTAGCAAATAAGCTTCTTAGTTCACAGATATGTATTTAAGGTCTGCTCTTCTAAATGACATCGTGAACTCCTTTGCAGATATTTCTTACACCAGAAGCCCCACCACTGCACCAGTGGCAGTTATCGCAGCTTTGGTAGCGACACCAAGGCCTGCCATCCCTAGGGTGAAAAACAAAAACAGGTAACAGAATTAGGAAGATGAAAAACCACTTATCAAATGTCCTACAAGTATCTGAAAACACTAATGTGATATCATGGAGACTTAAAAGTAAGATCTTTGCAAATTGAGCTAGGGAAAATAAGCCACACATATAAATGTAAATAGTACAATTACACATTGGTCTTTTTATTATCTGCTTAAGTACATAGGTAAGTGCACCCTGTAAATTTTTGGTTCTTAACTGATTTTGAGTTTCTGTGTGTATATATTCATTAAGTCTTTATTTTCAAGGCACTCAAACTTCACATTCAGCAGGATAAAAACAGCTAAACTCAACATTTCTTAATTATTGTTACATATTTTTTTCAAAAATTTGGCACTGATACTTTGGTTTTGGATAGCTCTTCGACTATCATTCAATCTTGGTCTGTGTAAAGTTCATTCTCTTGTACCCTTTTGTTCAGAACACATTTTAAAATGCAAAATACTCTGTTCACCTGTTAAAATAGTCATATGGACATATCGTCTATTCATCCTTGAACACTGTTGTTAACTCCAAAAGCTACTTTGCACTTGGTGATTTGACCTGTATATTCTCTGTTCTTCAAGAATGCATGTCCTATAATTACTTATTGGTTTGGCATACTATTAGTACTATACTAAGAGAAATGTTTCGTGTTTACAGGGTGGGGCCTCTATTCTGAGTAGCTTTTTCTTGTCCTCTCACCTCCCTCCAAATGTTCATTTGATCAAGTAGAAACTGAAAATCAGGCTTGTCAGATGCTATATTTTTTCTATCCTGCTCTATGGAGTAGAGAGTCGGTCTCTGACAGAAGGCCACCTGAAGAGACTAGAAGCATTTGAAATGTGGATGTACAGGCGGCTGTTACGTATAAGCTGGGTTGACAAGATCAGAAATGAGGAGGGGATAAGCCGCCTGGGAAAGCCAAGGGAAATCATCAAAACAATTAAAAAATGAAAATTAGAATATTTCGGACATGTGATGCGACACTCAGAAAAATACGGCATACTCCGTTTAACCCTCCAGGGAAAGATGGAAGGCAAACGAGGTCCAGGCAGAAGAAGAACATCGTGGCTTCAAAATCTAAGGGACTGGTTTGGACAAAACTCAGCAGCACTTTTTTGTGCGGCTGCTGATAAAAACAGGATCGCCAACATGATCACCAACGTCCGATAATGGATATGGATGGCATAAAAAGAAGAAGAAGAAACTGCCATTTGTTTTGCTTCCAGGAAAAACAGAAAAAGTAAATGCAGGCTGATCTTTAAATATTGGAATGGAGAGAAACAATCCAATTAGATTTAGAAAAAGAGAGAGGTGTATTTGAAAATATTTTTTTAAAAATAACCCTCTCGTGGAATCAATGTAATATTTTTTGCAAGGATGTCCATCTGGCCTCAAGAAACTAATTGTGTATCTGCAAGCTTCTGTAGCTTCATTTGTACCATTGTAGCCACCATCTTGATCTTTTGGACTACACCCTTCAAAAACCGCCGGAAGTAATTGATTTTTGAAAGGGAAGTGTCTTGTGAGGAATCTGAAACACAACACCAACCTCTCCTTCATTGTGTCCTTTCAGTAAGAACGTATGTATGTTCTTCCAAAGAAAACGGGAATCATGGTTCTAATGCTACAGTGATCAAAGGCGATCAAACCGGTCAGTCCTGGAGGAGATCAACCCCGACTGCTCTTTAGAAGGCCAGATCCTGAAGTAGAAACTCAAGTACTTTGGCCACCTAATGAGAAGGAAGGACTCACTGGAGAAGAGCCTGATGCTGGGAAAGATGGAGGGCAATAGAAGAAGGGGACGACAGAGAATGAGGTGGCTGGATGGAGTCACTGAAGCAGGAGGCGTGAGCTTCAATGGACTCCAGAAGATGGTAGAGGACAGGAAGGCCTGGAGGAACGTTGTCCATGAGGCCGCAATGGGTCGGACACGACTTCGCAACTAACAACAACAGCAACAATGCTACAGTACAGGTAGTCCTCAACAATTCACTTAGTGACTGTTCAAAGTTACAACAGCACTGAAAAAAGTGACTTATGACCATTTTTCACACGGCCATTGCAGCATCCCCAGAATCACGTGATCAAAGTTCAGATGCTTGACAACTGACTCATATTTATGACCGTTCATGTCATCACCTTTTGCAACATTCTGACAAGTAACAAGAATAGGGAAATCCGCTTCACTTAACAACTATGTTGCTAACTTAACAACGGCAGCGATTCAGTTAACTACTGTGGCAAGAAAGATAAAATAGGGCAAAACTCACTTAACAAATGTCTCATTTAGTAACAGAAATGTTGGGCTCAGATTTGGACAACCACCACTAGATGGCAGCAAAGGTTAACAAGCAAAACTTAGAAGAAAAAGGCAGGGGCCCTGGAGTTTGTGCTTTGAGTTTTTTCTTTTTAATTAATGAATTTATTATTTACTATTTTTATATCATTTTTATTATTTTATTTTTAATTTTTGTCAGATGATGGATATGTGTTTGTCCCAAGCCTTTTTTTAAAAACTCAGTTAATTGTCTTTTATATCCGGGTACTGCCATCTAGGATTCTGAATCTCAGTTTTTTTCCTTGGCCAAAACACTCCAAACTATTTCTAGTTTGTTTCAGTGGTAATGTGGAACATCCTTGTTTCTGCCCAATTACGGCTGGCATGGAGCAGGTTGACAGACCTTCTACAGTTCAGTCTTTGGTTCTGAGTTCCAACAGAACATTTTCTCTGTTTTGTACATCCCTTATTTGAAAGCTACATACTGGGGAAGGGTGGATCTACCAAGGTGGCTGGCTAGGAACCTGAGCGTACTTGAGCCGTTTAAAGAGCCAGTGGGGTATAATGGTTAAGAGACCAAGACAGAAATTGGGGGCCCTGAGTTCTAATCCTGATTTAGATCTTTGGGCCAGTCCCTCTATTAACCCTAAAAAGAAGGCAGCCTTTTCCAAAAATTTTATTTTATTTCTCACATTTTTAAAGTGGCCATTTCCCTCACAGAGGAATTCTGGGCAGTGTACAATAAAATATTAAAATATAAGAACAATAAAAATAGAAAATGTAAAAGAGGCAATTTAAAACACTTAAAAATAAAAGTTGAAGGGAGGGCTGTCAGGGTACCAACCAGCCCCATAGTTGCATACTCCTCTGGGCTACTGCGAGTCCCCTGGACTGCAAGGCGAACAAACCGGTCAGTCCTAGAGGAGATCAACCCTGACTGCTCTTTAGAAGGCCAGATCCTGAAGTTGAAACTCAAGTCCTTTGGCCACCTAATGAAAAGGAAGGACTCACTGGAGAAGAGCCTAATGCTGGGAAAGATGGAGGGCAATAGAAGAAGGGGATGACAGAGAATGAGGTGGCTGGATGGAGTCACTGAAGCAGGAGGCGTGAGCTTAAATGGACTCCAGAAGATGGTAGAGGACAGGAAGGCCTGGAGGAACGTTGTCCATGGAGTCGCGATGGGTCGGACATGACTTCGCAACTAACAACAACAACAACTGGACTACTTGTGCAAGATTGCAGAATTGGTGGCCTGTCTCACTTCTGGGGGGAAAGTATCCCATAGGGCAGGGGCAATGACAGAGAAGGCTCTCTTCCTAAACGCTACCAGTTGGAATTCCTTAACTGACAGGGTCTGCAACATACCTTCCCTGCTTGATTGGATGGGACAGGCAGAGGTAATGGGACAAAGAGGGTTTTGTAGATAGCTTGGCCCCAGTCCATGGAGGCCTTTAAAGACCATAGCTGATATCTTGAATTGGACCGGGGGGGAAACTGGCACCCATTGCACCCACTGGCACGGTGGAGCAAAACTGTTACATGTCATTCTGCACCAGCTGAAGCTTGCAGATACTTTCAAAGATAGCCCCTATAGAGCACATTGCAATAGTCAAAACAGGAGATGACCAGGCAGGAGTGGAGAGCCTCCCTGTCCATTTTTGGTTCCTGTTGATAAATGTTGCCTAGAAAACTGCAGGCAATTGCTTAGGCAGTAACCAGGAGTCAGGACTCATTTGAAGGCATAGATCAACCCATCAATTGCCATTTTAGGACTTACATTAGGGTTTCCCACCATGGAGCAATAGGAAACAGTTGTCCACTGATACCAATTATGCAAAGTCAGCGGAGTCTCCACAAATAGTATTGTAGATCACACATGATCCTAGGAAATCAGGTTGCCCATCCACGAGAGAGAAAGGCATGTTGCAGCATACCAGGCTGACATTTCCTCTTATTAAAATGATCTAAAGCAGACATGTCAAAGTTGTAGGTGCTCCATTGCTGGAGGTTTTTAAGGAAAGATTCTCCAGGATGATATAGGGCAGACATGTCAAACACAAGGCCCGGGGGCCGGATGCGGCCCGCGAAGTGGTTTCATGTGGCCAGCGAAGCCATCCTGGAAACAGTGAGGGAATGGCCCCCGCTGCCTTGGCCCTGGCCCAGGCCGGCCGGGAGCCAATGTACAATTTTATGGTGGCCATCTATGCTGAAACACATTCAGTCTTAGCTCCACAAGGCCGTCTGGAAAAGTGAGGAACCAGCCCGTGTTGTGTCGGCCCCCAGCTCCTGGGTGCATGCTGGGGAGGTGTCACCCTTTGTGAGGAATGAAGAAATGCACCATTGCCTGGAAGTGGCCAGCAAATGGCCCTTGCCTACTTCACATATCCGGCTTGATGGGCTCTGGGGGAGGGGTTTCGGCAGGCAGTGAGGCTCCTCCAGTGGACCATGCCTTGGCACTTGCTCCGGCCCCACCCCCTTCTGCCAGAGACCCTCAGATCTGTCCCACTCCTGCCCAGGCCCCCACAGGCCCCCTTGATGCGAACGATGTAGAGCTGGCCATGCCCACCCAATAGGCCACACCCACTTCATCCACACCCACCCAATAGGCCACACCCACCCTGGCCACACTCACCCGGCCCCCCTGAGGGCAACCACAATGCTGATGCGGCCCTCAATGAAATTGAGTTTGACATCCCTGATCTAAAGCAATAACATTCAGCTTCTGTGTTCCCGTTGGCACCTTCCCACAAGCATATAGGCATCCTTTTTTCAAAATCACAACAGGCATTTGAAGAAATGGAGAACCGTCTGGCAAAAGGCTGTGGCATAATAAATGGCTGAGCCACTACAGGTTTTGCGGCAACAGGGCAAAAAACTGAAAAGCGATACTGACCAGCGGATTGCCCGAGGGCAACGATGCTTCCGGCGGCCACACCACCCCCGTTGGCGATGGCTGCAGCTGACATCATCTTGGCTGCCAGCGATCCTGCAGCAATGCCGGCAGCCGTGAACCCCATGGCACTCAGCACGAGCGGGGCACCGATGGCTGCAGCCCCTGAAAAGCAGGCTGTTAGTTACTGCTGCACAGACATAACCCAGATATCACTGGTTTATTTACTGCATTTTCTGCCAATTTTTCTTTCCACACCTTATTTCTCACCAGCCATTCAATCAGTTGCACGGTCAAAGGGAATGCATGTCTCCTTAAAGCAATCCGATGTTTTAATCACTTCATTGGTTTTCTAAATTACTTCACCTGCCTGTATGTCCCTTAAGGTCTAACCCAGGGGTAGGCAACCTTGGCTCTTTTATGACTCGTGGACTTCAACTCCCAGAATTCCTGAGCCAGCCATGCTGAGGGGAAAGGGAGAGTTTTCAAGCTGAGCCATGCTGGCTCAGGAATTCTGGGAGTTGAAGTCCACGAGTCATGACGGGGCCATAGTTCCCCCATGCTGGCTGAGGAATTCTGGGAGTTGAAGTCCACAAGTCATGACGGGGCCATAGTTCCCCCATGCTAACTCAGGAATTCTGGGAATTGAAGTCCACCAGTCATGAAGGGGCCATGGTTGCCTACTCCTGGTCTAAACAGAAACAGGTACAACCTAGCTCAGTAGTGGTTTTACTCACAGAAGGTAGCTAACGAATCCTTCAACAAAAAACAAAGCTGTTTCTCAGTGTTGTGCTCTGTGAACATTAATGACACACTGACGATATGGCACTGTATAGAATACAGGAATCCATTTGGGAAAAAAGGAGCATATGCAGGCAGGTCTCCACTTACTACCACTTGTTAGTGACCAAAGTTAAAATGGCAATGAAAAAAGTGACATGACCGTTTTTCACACAAACTGTTGCAACCATTGCCCATCTCTGGTACAGATTGAAGACTGCCCTTATCACTGAAGCTTCTAACCTCCCTATGGATCCTCAAGTCATTTTTGTTAATAGTAACAATTACTTGGGTATTACAGGTTCTTGATGCATGTATGTGCTTCTTAAAAGCTAGGAAAAAAAAGGATGATCCTGCTCAAGTTCCATCAGCATTAGGAAGCGCCCCCAAATCTAGAGTTCTCTTTTCCCAAATTAAACATCTTGTTTGTACTAAGAACTGCTCCTCTAATGCAAAATTCTCCCACCAATATGATGACAATCCATTACGCGATATAGAGAAACAACTTACCAGCTCCAAGGAGAACCCCGGTTAGTAAACCTAAGGGAATAGATATGTGCCAGTCAGATTTTTGACATATATACTAAGCTTCAAGTAAGAGACTTGTATTGCCATGGGAAGTCAAATTTAACACTTCCCAACTTTTTGGAAACCGCTTCTGGACTTTGTGCTTGAAGTGGAAAAACCGAATAAGTTTGTGGTTATAGAAATGGCTACTTTATTTTATTATGTAAAAGTAAAAAATCGAGGTTTGATGTTATGCTATTGCATCAAAGAGAGTCAGAAATCAACACTTTTTTCTTTCTCTTTTCCCTCTGCCCCACATTTTTCCCTTCCCTTTTCCCTCCCCTATTTTCCTACTATTTTCTTTTGTATGTTTGTATTATATATTACAGAGCAATAAATAAATAGACTGTTGTAAAAGAAAGATTGAATTTTTCCATAACATCATGCGAGTAAAAAGAAGTTGGGCTCTGATGACGTGTACACACACACACACATACACACACACACACACTTCCCACACTCAGACACCCTACCAAGGATGCCTCTGATGTGAAGTGTTAATAGTGGTATTTTCCTCTTTTACATGGCCAAGTGAACACAGCCATTGTAACTATATCATGCAAGGCTGACAACATCTTTATGACTAGAAAATCAATTGGTCTTATTTCTTACCCATCCTCCTGTCGATGCACCTGCAAGTAAAAAGCAGAAACTCTGGTAAGAAAATATATTCTATAGCTAACAACTTCTGACTGCTGACCCAATGCCTTGAAGTCCATTCAACCATTATCCCCAGAACTGAAGTTTCCAGCCATTACTGTGTTCTAGGCAGCCTAGTTACCAAGTCTGAACATATTTCCCTCAAGCCAGCTGAGAACTACTGATTTCCCACTCCATGCTCAAAACAGTCTGTAACCCAAAAGGAAATGACTAAAACCCAAACTGCTTGGTACCTTGTAAACCAGTAGTAGAGGAAAAAGAAGCAGGTTATTCTTAATAAATGAAGCTGATACTTCTCTTAAAGGACTTATCAAAACCTACCCGTGGTGGTCCCTGTACACTGGTGTAAGACGCTAAGAAAAAGACTCAGGCATATCTTGAGCAGAGATTTGAAGCTGCTGCAAAGCTGCTTGTCACAGCTTGAGAGTCTCTGTGTGTTTATTGGTTTTTATATACTTTTTACATACATAGGCTTTACTATTAAATGCTGACTTTTTACATTCATAAGTTTTAACCATTAGATGCTGACATCAAGTTTCTTCATTAGAAAATTCCTAGTAACACATTACATGATCAAAGAGGTAAAGAACAAATACAGGTAGATCAAAAGGAGAAAAGAGCTTAACAAAGACAGGAAGAGATAGGAAGGAACTTAAGCATATTATCTGTTTAGGTAAG